ATATTTCTTTAAATATTTCACTTCAGACTCTGATATCGCTATATTGTAAGTGTCCTAGCAATATGTCTCATTAATCGTAACATAGCATTATGAAGTTAAGTAAGTTTTAAAGATCTACGTTGACTGGTTCTAGTATGCACGAAAAAAAAAACGTCGCATTCTACTCTTAGTTAAGGTATCCCATGCATTCAGTCGATGTGTACGAAATAATTCTAGTTTGTAGAACTGGCTGTGCCATGTGTCTCACTCTTGTTAAACCCTTGCGATCTATTTAGCAGAAAATAATAATAAAAATTAATACATAAGTTAGTATGTGCTTGAGTAAAGGTAAAGAAAGAAGAGGTAGGGTTGTTTATAATAAGGGACATATGAGTAAGTGGATAGGTGTTTTTTTGCAACTAGCCTGGGTTGAGAATGAGGAATCTGGCTACTTCAATTGGTCGAACATAAATATTAATATGGTTTGAATTAGTTAGTGTGTTAGGGCATGATAACAGATGGGCTTCGTTATACGGAGTAGACTTAAAGGTGGGACTTTGTGCTTCACTGTTTCTATGATATCGTATATCGGTTTAGTATTTCATCAATTCTTAGAAAGGTTTATTGGTTTGTCTTTATAAAGATCGCTGTAGATCCATTCCTCTTTCACACCATCATTATCTATCCGCCTCCTAACCCATATATACGTATTTGTAATTCTTTTCATGTTATTATGTTATTTTATCTTTATAGAAACTTGCGACTACAAGAACAAGATCTGACGATGATTAAGATGAGGATCTTGATCTTATCTTGTGTTAAGTATTTTTTTATGAAGAAAATTTGAATTCATTCATTGCTTTGGTTTGATTTTATATAAATCCTAGTTCATTTAAATAATCCTTGTTTATCGCAACAGAGTTTGCTGCTTCAATTAGAAAGTAGAGCATTATATTGTTCTGGTGTTTCTTTTGCTCTATCAAATATACGCTGATTACACATATTAACTAAAAAAATTACACGTTATGCCGATTAATTTGATTTGCATGCCAATATATTTTTCTAATGGTTTTTTTGTTGTTTGCAAGTCTATCTAGTTATACAACACTTAGTAGTGCTAACTTATATATTATAAATATTATTTTTAAAAAAACTTAATTGGATATCTTCAAACACTAACAATTCAGTGGTGACTTCTATTATTAACATTTTATTTTTCAAAGATTAAAAATAAACTTATTAAATATATATCGTGCTATGATAAATGCATAATCTGTAATATATATTGTACATTTTTATATTTTAGCAATAGCAGAAGAGAAACCGCAACGAAAACCGCTATTTACTTATCCTAATCTTAGTGATTTGGAGCTTGGTGATGATATAAAGGAACTTAAGAACCAAAAAAATTTACGTCGCTATGCTTCCGAAAAACCTTTAGCTAAAGAAATAACAGTGGGTTGGCATCAACCGAAAATTGCGGAAATGCTTAATTACGATGCTGCGTCTAAACCCAAGCAGTTCAGATCTCAAGGCACACAAGCTGAACCACAAGTTATTGGTTGGCAAATACCACCAAAAATGCAAATAGATATGGTGGATGGTGGCGTATGCCATAATCTTGCCGCAAACATAGAAACAAAAAGTACTCCTGTAAAAACTCGTATTTTCAATAATAAAGATAAAAGTTTTCCTTGGTCTAAACAACTGCGAAACTTTTCACCATGGCCAGTGAAGAATAAACGAAAAAATTCAACCCCACGTTCGAAAAGAAGTAAAACTGCTTCGTTTTTATGCAATTCAAAGAAGAAAATATTACGTTTGGTATCACCAAAAAAGGATAATAACATTCCCAATAGAATTAGAAGACAACAAACACCACATCGTACTATTGGTGTACAGACAACTGGAAGCGATATACAATTATATGAACCCAGTTTAATACGCCAATCTCCGCCTGGCAGTTATCATTCTCCTATACAAACGTCACCGCAATCCACAACACCGACACGTTCGAGTGATGCAAATGTAGAACAATTTGATTTTTCACGTACCATACAGTCACCACCGAAGGCTAAATCTCGTTTACAACCAACTCAGAGAAAATTGCATTTTCCAACCGGTTGCGGTCGTGTAATGTGTATTAAAAGCTGTTGCAAATCATCGATCATTGAAAGTATCGATGAACAGAGGCTTTCAAATCTGCATAATAAGACCTATCAATCATACCAAACTGATTTGGATAATGATGTGAATATTTCGAAGATGAGCTATATTTTGGGAAATATACGAGCAAAATTGGAAGCTAGTGATGAGTTTGCAGTAAGAACCTTTCAGGTAAGTTAAATGTATATTTTATTTAACTAAATTAGTACTTAGAATAAGTAGTGCCATATAATAACAGCTATTTAGAAAAAAAATGCTTATACCTAGAATACATACATTTTATTAGATGAGTAGTATTGACCCGTTGTGATGTCAACACTTACAATTAATTTTAAATAGTGAAATTATGGTTTTTTCGATCTGAAGAAACATATAAACATTGTATGAGAGGGGACATTCATTTTCAATATTTGCCGATATATTAGTTATCAAATAAGACATGTGTTTACTCAGAAAGGAAACTTTACTCAGAAAACTCCTAATATCTATCTAATATCTAATTTAAAATCAGCAAATATTTTAAATTTAACTATAAACAAATATTGATAACTTTTTAAATGATTCAATTATTGCTTCATCTAAAAGAAAACCTTATTTTTAATATTTACCGGGATACTTGGTATTAAAATGATTATTCTAAAAACCTTTACCTTTAAAACTTAGATAAACGTTACAATTCTTAAAAAAATTTAACTAATTGGAATCCATTTTCAATAATTTTTTAAGATGTAGGAAATTTCCGATCCTATCCGAAAGAAAACTTTAATCTAAAATAATATTCTAATATCTCCCTGTTATCATTCAATTATTAAACTATGTATGATATAGATAGATTTCTTAACTTTTGTTATAGCTATTGTTTTATCTAGCTATCTATCTAGTTATATTATCTAGCTATATATTGCTATCCTTTTTTTTGTAGTTTTGTCTTTATGAATATTGACAATCGTATATATATATATATGACAATTTATGAATATATCTATTAATCTATTAATATACCTATTAATATATCATATATTAATATATACCATTAATATATAATATAAGTTTCTTAATTTTTCTTAATAAATCAGATTAATATCTTTGATTTTTGATTTAAATAAAATATAAGATTTACTTTATCCATTTATTTTGAATGGTTGATCCACATTCACTTACTTATTTACTTAGTTGGGTATATCAGACGTGAGTCGTCTTTGGCTGCATACAGTAGCCTCTGCAGCCAGCCTGTTCGATGACTTGTTGTGGCCAGTTGGTAGTACCAATCGCCCACAAATTATTGGTCACCTAGTACTTCCACACAAGATGCGGACGTCCTCTACCGCATTTTCCATTTGCGTATATCAAATCACACATCTTTCCAGCCGGAGTAGTTTTTTTCATTCGCACGACATTAGATGACCATGACCCATACATATCCACTTCTCTACAGTGCACCAGAAGTAGTCTAGTGTAAATCAAGATTATTTTTCTCTTTTAGTACTATAATTTGTTTGAGTGTTGGTAGTTAATACTGTTGTGGTTTGATTTAAGTCAGAATACCTGTCTTTTGCTAAGTGCTTAACTACAGTTGTAAACCTAATCGTTTATATTTAAATCCAGTGATTTCATGTCTGTGACATAGCAACTTTATTAGACGTTCTCTGACTACCTTTCCACCATATTTCTAACCTTATATCTTATATGTTCAATTATTATTGCAATCCTTACCAAAATTGTCTGTGTACTTTTCACTTGCTTTGGATCCCTAAAAAGTTATTCGAACTTGGTGTCAGTTTACAACATAAAAGTGTGCTTTATTGATGTAATTATATACATAATGATTTAATGATAAACAATTTTTAATACATATGTACAGATACAGATACAGATAATTTATTTATTAATGAGAAAAAAAAATGTGTGTTACTGAACTGAGAATGTAAACGCCAGTGAATAATGATCGGAGCCTAAAAATCGATTCGGAATCTGTCCGAACATCTGACAATCTTTAATTGTTGGTAATCTGCATATTTCCAAGATTTCTAAGTGGTTGCCTTTAGTTTGCTTTGAATAGAAGATATGATCCACTGTAATCCATTTATTTTGAAAGGTTGATGCACATTCACTACCCAAATTAAAATCTAGTGGTATTAATTCTAGACCTTTTTTCTCGTTCGAATCACCACAAGCGGAATTTTTTAGCGGTGGGTGTTGTGCTGCAGTTGAGATAATTTCGAATGGCTTCATGTGTCTTTCAAAGTTGAAGTCACCTGTTAATATAATAGGTGAGTTTTCATATTTCATTGAATACTGCTTCAGTGCTTTCAAAAGCACATTAACCTGTGCTATGCGCACATCTTCCCTCTTTGGATTATACAGCAAATGAGTGGTGGCCACAATTAAACTTTTTCCAGGCTCTTCTTTCAAATCAAACTTCGCTATTAATGCAATATTTTCACGATTTAATAAGTTGTGTCCAGAATTGTAATATTCCAATCCCAGGTGCTGTACAAGCTTGAATTTGCTTTTGTCATAAATAATAGCACAACCATCTGTGCGTGTACCGGTTTTCTTCTTAAAGACATATTCCAAGCAACGTTGTCCACCAATTTGGGCAACAAAATTTTTAACGTGATTACATTGCATTTCCTGCAAACATATTATATCCGGATTAATATGTAATAGTTCCTTTCCGAGTTTTTGCGATCTATGTTCCCATCTTAGGTAGGCTTGTTCGATTTGTATATATAAATGTAAATGTTCCACCAGCAGATCCTGAGCTAAGATATTGTATGAAACTAATTTGTACTTGTTGGTGATTTCCCTTTTGTCACTGCAATTTATCCATAGACGTGCCATTGTTTCGGTTGGTTGTTGTTGTTTCTTTTTTGTACGCTTTTTATCTCGTTTTTGTATTTTACTGGAATAAACTTTTGGTGCCGGCGATGCTGAATATAGTATAAACGAGTTTAATATTTTCTTTTTGGGCACGTATTTTAAAATGCTGCGAAACATTTCAATTGACGCGCCGAAAATAACATTTGACTTTCCAACAAATAAAACTTCTTGCCACCATTGGGGAAATCTCACGGGCTGTCAAAATCATATGTTGTGCATATTTCCCTTTGTACAGGGATGTTATATTTATTTTTTAAACACATTTAGCATTTGATTTAGGTTTTGGTTTCCACTTGTGGCTTTTAATTAAAAAACATAATTTGACTATAATTTAATTATAGTTAGTTATAATTAATTATTACTGAATGTGGCATTGTTGTTTAAATATATATTATTTAATAATACATAATTAAAAAAATATTTTAACTAGAATTTTGTTAGACTTCTGTATTTTAAACGGCCTGTGCCATATTTAAATTTTTTTTCTTATAAATTTAATTTGACTAAAATTATTTTGTATTGCTTTGTTTATTATAATTAATGCAAGTAAATTATTTGATGTTTCTGAACATTCGTTATTGTTGTGATTTGAGTTGGTGCTATTGCGCACTATTACTCTTTTGTGGCTGGGGGTCTTATCCCTGCCCCACACTAAGCTTTAACTATACTAGAATTATTATCATTTATTTATCTTTTAACTGATGACAGACCGTAGATCAGCATATTTTCTTGTGCGTCCTGAGGTGGACTTAAGGTTTGTTAGGGCGGGGTTGGGCAACGTATCAATAAATTTTTGTGAATAATTTTTGGGCTCTATCCTTGATTTATTTTTTCACTGAGTCGACCCTTAGATCTCATGTCTGTTGTTCTAATATACCAAGGAATCTTAATTAGTCTTCTTAAAGCTAGATTTTGTGTTATCTGTAATTGCTATATGGCAGTATTTGAGGCTTTGCTGTATGTTACACATCCGTACAGTAGTGCTGGCCTAATTATTTGAGTACAAAAACATTAATTTGTTAACAAAAAACGACTGGTTTTTACAGTTTATTTCATTTATAAAGGAGGTATTCAGACGTAACTCTGTAAATTAGCGCCATGTTATGTAGAGAATCTCGGGACCGCAAAATTGTCTATTTCGGGCTATGCCAAAAATCCATGTTATTTAGACTGTCACATCAGTATTGCTAATTTCGTATTTTTACAATGTTTTAGCATTTTTTAAAAAGAAATGTAGGTATGCTCGCTTTCAATTTGCGACCAAAAATAAACAGCAAAAAAAAAAGCGGAGTCTGTGTCTCAGGGACGGAATGAGCAAAATTGTTGTTGATTTCAATGGAAATTATTTAGTAATAAATAAATTGTTTAGTAATAATTTTCAGAATTATCGCCTTTTAGGAGCAAATTACTCCAATTTCAGTACGTTTGGAAAAAATTACAGTAAGCAACATAGCCAAATTTAACGAAATCTTCGCACAAAAAACCAAAATTGCTAGCTAGAAGCACTAAAAACTGACAAAACAGAAGAAACAAATGTCAATTTTTTTCTTAAAAATGTCTAAATAACTATGTCTATAATTTTAATGTTAATGTTATAAAAAGAAATATCAAAACTACTTTATGACTTAATTATTTTAAATTGTAAACCATTTTCATGCTTTTGTAATTCTTCAATAAGATTTGTCTTTTCAAAAGCTAAACATGCTGGCCAAACTCCACCCCTGTAAAATAAGTTATTATTAATTATCTTCAAAAAAATTATAAATCGTAGACTTACGTTCCCGGCATTAGTTGGTTTTGGATGAGTATTGTTTTTGCGCACAATAATAAAGCAACACTTGCAAAACCATAAAATGGATCATAGCCCGAAACGCACGCTACTATCTCCTTATTCGGCTTATCTCCAATGAGCTCATCATTTGTCCAACCTTTTGCTTTAAAAGTTAATTGAAAGTTATGTGCTTTTCTGATGGCTTCTGTAGGTCCTTCATGTGAAATAATACCTAATGTGAAACATTTAGGACATTTTAAGAGTAGATTACGTGTCCAATCCCATTGTGACATTAGTACAATAGTTAGAAAGTGAAACGGTAGAATAAGCGCTAAGAGAAGTGAACTATAATATTGAAAAATTATTATAAATATATGTGAAATATATAGAAAAACTGTTTACTCACCGAAAGCCCACGTATGACTCAAATTGTATGGGTCGTTTTTGTTCCAATTTATATTGCAAGCGTTGTGCACGGTGTATTAGAGCTCGATCAGTTTGTGGAAATGGTAGGAAGTAACTACTTAGACCAGCTGTTTTATGTATAAATGGACTGAATACAATAATTTTTATTAGTAATATATAATATATGCGTTTCGTTTCATTATATATTTACTTACTTCAGCCATAGTTTGGGTTTTAAACTAGGTAGTTTATCTACTATTGATCTATTTATTTCATTCTGTAATTGTAGAGATTTTTTAAAGGTATTAAAGGTATCAACTCCACTTTCCCAAGTTGCAAAATGAAAAAGTGGTTTCGACAATCCTTTGCTTCCGAATGAATTTTCCCAGTACATATCAATAGAATTCACAGTACCTATAAAAAATAAATTAATTTAGAAGGGTTCGAATAGAAATGAAAAGCAACAACAACAAGTTTTAGTAAATTATTTGAAATTTGGCTGATCTGACCATACAATGCTGTTTAGAATATTACCAAGTACTCATCATCAGTGGTCTTAGAAAATATTAAAATTTTTTAATTCGAGTAGATAGTGACTCTTACTGTAGTGCAATATTACAGTAGTCAGTGACTCTACAGTGCAATTCATCAATTATTATAGTCAGCGCCTGTTGTTTAATCGTGCGATGATTATACCACCGAAGTACTTAAGTATGTGTATTATAATTTTATATCTTTTAACTTACCACCAAAATTTTGTTCAACAAAAACTACACCCATTTCAGCTGCTATGGTATCAAATCCACATGCTGACACGACATAAGCATGTTTTTCTTGAGATAGGTCATTATATTTTTTAAACATTTCATCGATAAAGAGTGGTTCCGCACTGAGATCAATGTGGTGAGTACCATTCTCAACACAAGCTTTTACAACAACGTCACCGTAAATGCGATAAGGTCCACAACAATTGATTAATAACTAAATTACAATAAATTTTACAATAAATTACATTTTATTTATATATTTACATTCTTTTATTAAAATACTCACTTTACATTTTGCTGCCATTAATTCTATAGATTTTTTATCATTAACATCGGCAATGATAATTGTTGTATTACTTAGATCTTTATTGACTTTCTCGCCAATATTTGAGAGCACTGCTTTTATTTTTGACTATAATATTAATAATTAATAAAAATATTTTTCTACATTAATGAATTATTTTAACCTCATTTCTACCGGCAACGCCCCACCGAAATCCCTTTAGAATATTAATAGCATTCTCAACAACCAATTCTCCAGTAAAGCCGGTTGCACCAAAAATAATCGCATCCAATTTTTCAGACGACATATTTAGTTTAGTATTTAATTTAATATTTAATTCAAACAACCGAACAACTTCGTATTAAAATCCATACTAAATGTTCATTCTTATAGTTCACCTCAATGACCGCATTGAATGTTAAAGTAAAAGTTTTTGTTACGTTTATTAATTTTGAAGACTGTGCGCTATACATAAAAAACAGGTACCTTCAGTTCTAATATCTGCTTCAATTTATACAAGATATTACTAAGGTTATAGTTTCATTCTTTTCTTACAATTTTTTTATAAATTTATATTTATTATTATTCATTTATATTATTTATTTTTAATTTATTGACTTATTTATTTTTTTTTTATAAAAATTTTTATAATTTTATGTGTTAAATAAACGATCTAAGCCCGGTAATAATCAAAAAATTTATTTATTTATTGATAATTATAAGTAAATAAATAATTAATAAATTCTTATATGAGCTGATTTAATCTATATGCCTTAATCTGTTAGTTATCTTTCTTAATCAATATTATGCCATATCAATTGTTATGCCGTCTATAGTGCAAATATAAAAAAAGTTTCGAATAAATAAAAAATTCCAAAACAATGATTTGCACATTTTTTTCAAAGATTATCTTAATGAATATTTATAGAATTTTTATACGCTTTTTGGACATACATTTAAAGGTATCTAAAAAACAATTGTATAATGCATAAATTATTAAAATACTATAAGTATTTACTGATATAGTAAATAGACCACTTATTTTACTTTTATTATAATATATTAATATTATAGTATTATATTTTTTTTATATTTGATTACTTCAAAAAAAAAAAAAAAAAAGAGAGAGCGCGATTTTACATACATATATATTTCTGTAGCTGTTAGTACTTACGCATAATTTTAGGTAGTATTAGTACTGAATCGGTGTGGTTTTACGCTTGACCCTTTGTCCTTTGATTGTTATTGAGGCAAACCATGAAACGAACTTCTGCAGCTTTGCAAATTTTCCTTCCAGTCATTGATGTAAAGACTAGATAGACAAATTTTTGAGCCGAACCATCGTAAGTGGTCTACGACCCTGGTAAAATGAAGGATTTCTAGTTAGTAAAATATGTTTCAAACATATAGAATAGTATTATTCTTATTTCAAAAGTTACTCGAAATGAATTTAAGTGTTCAATTTTAAATATTAATTAATTTTTGTTTTTTTTTTAAATTTATATACGTTTTTAAATACACTGAATTAATTTTTTGAAAATGTTTTATGAGCCACATTTGTGTGCCACATAAGATAAATAGCTGGACTCATTCTTAAAATTATTAATTTATCATTAGACGGCCAGCACGTTACCCAAGAGTTATAGGTGCTTCACTCTTCACTATTCTCTTCTTTTAATCTAAACTAAACCTCTTTAAAGGTCGATCTAAAAATTATTGTAGAAGAAAATTAGATTATGAGTAGCGGATATGGGACTTTATCCTCTTCTGTTTAAACAAAAATTGAATAATTATAACTACTGTAATGGGTATAATAATACAGACACAAAAATAAAAAATAGTGGATGTAGAAAAAGAAGAATTAATAATAGAAGATAAAAGAAGATATAATTTCCAAAAATTATAAAAAATCAATCTAATTGCTTTGATTGAACTTAAAAGGTTAGGGAACTTCAGTCTTATATCCATTGGTAAAAATTTTATTTATTAAACACAAACAAAAGCGGTTTCTATTTTATAAATACGGTACGCGAAAAAATATAGGCTTTCTTAAATCGGCGTCTGAAACCGGAACCTAGTATCCTGTGTATTCTTTTATGGTTTTTTTATTTTTTGTAAATTCTATTTGTAAATTTTTGTCTAAGTTTATAACTAATTGTATACACCTGGTATACCTGGTATATATATATATAGGATCTCTGTGCTCGATATTCGAGCTATAGTAGAAATTGGATAGGGCAAATGGGGTTGTAGTAGGTGAGCTCACAGTACATCAAACACCAACATTGCTTGACAAGAATTTAGTGAAACTTACAATGTTCTTGGTACAGTATATAAATATTTATTTTATTAGTTCTGTAAGCAAATAAATTGTAGACATAAAAACAGAAAAAAAAATAAAGCAACATAGCTAGATCGATTCCAACTTATCAAGAATAATAACATGGCTTATATGGTTTATAACTAATACATCTGTTATTTATAACACAGTGAAATTTATATAAGTTAAATTAAAAATAATATCAATAAGAATATTTATTCGTTTCTTATTTGTGATTATATTTCATTTTTTCTTAGTATTTTTCTAAATATAATTAATTTTTGCTTTTTCTAGGAGGTTGAACGTCGTGAGCGTCAACATGACAATGGTTTTGATTGCGTTGATGGTCACAATAGTAATATATCACGTCACGGTTTAAGACTCCACAACCTCAATCATCGTTTAGAAAATATAGATCGACAGGATCCACTTTACTCAGAAATAGAAGAGGAAAGAATGCATATAAGTGGTAGTCCAGATTTTGATAATAAAACGGGATTGGAAACTAAAACAACTGAAAAGAATTTTGATCATTTATATGCGAAAGTAAATAAAGCAGCAAAAAATAAAAAAAACCAATCAACTACTACTTCTACAACAACAACAACACTAACGCCTTTAGGTAAAATTCTTCATGAATCTTTAAAATCGAAAAATTCGACTCTACCACCTTTATATGAGTCCACAAGCCTCGATGTGTCTTACACGTCACCAACACCAGATTCAGTGTCCACAGAATTGCCGCCTTTACCACAATCTCCGAAAGGATATAAAAATGCACTAAGTCATTCCTCGTCTCTTAATAACATAATGGAACAACATTCATTACCAAAGAATAATCGTAATCTTAGCAAATCAGATTTGTCTATATATCGTAGTGAAATATTTTTGGATAATTTATGCCATGCTGAAGTGGAATGCTTGGAAAAAGTTGAAAATGTACTACAATTATAAATTAATTTCATTTTCCATATTGAATATTAATTAATTATTTTATCTTTACAGAGCGATTTGGATCGAACTTACGTTTCTTTGCCTGGTTGTGATTCATACGATGCTCAACCAATTGATACAATATCATACGAAATGCCAAATGAGGATGAAACTCACTCAAATACTGCAGGTAGTCATTTGGGCCTAAGTTTAACTTCACCACCACAAAGACGGGATCAGAGCACACCGAAGAAAAATCATAATAATGGCAGCTATGGTGGACCTCAGCCCCGAACTTTTATTACTAAGGTAGAACTTTTTGTTGATTCATATTAGGTGAAATTTATAATTAAGTTCAAACCTTTGCCAAACTTATGCTTTTAATGAAATATATTTTGTTCATTTGGTTACTTATATTCTTATGTATATTTATAAGGTTTCTTTAAAGAAAATTGTTCCTTGGTTAATCACTCTAATATACTTAAATTACATTTGTTAAACATCACTGTAAAATACACATTATCTTCTGTTTAAAATTTCAAAATTTACAAAATCTAACATTAATTTTTTATTTTATTTTCTTGGTCTGGGTTTTTTTTTTCAAATGATTTTTAATTATTTGTACTTAATGGTTTAAAAATTTAAGTACTACATTATAAAAATTATAATGTATATATAGGTGTACAGAATTAAATTATAAAATTAAAGGTGTTAGTCAATACTCATGATATTATGGTATTTTAAGGAAATGCTTATACTAATGGGTTTTTATATATCCTCTGCTTTTTTCTTTTTAATTTTTTCTTTTTATTTTTTCTTTTTATTTTGTAATAATAATGTGTCAATAACAATTTTTTTTTTATTTTTTCTTTTAAATTTAAATTACGTGAAATACTGCAAATAATATTTTTAAATAATACCATATTATGGCTGGAATACAATTTTTTAAAGACATTACTGTATAGTAGAATAAATTATAAAAATGAAATACTCAAATGATCTTAAGTCTATTTTAAATATTCTTACAATAGCTTTGTAGACGTTTTACAAGACGATATGCTTTTCGGATTTGTAAAAAATGTAAATAAGTTTTAACTTTTTTTATTAAATAAAAATATTTAAGACTATAATCAACTATTAATTTCAATAATTTAATAAATATAGTATTCTTGTTATTCTCCTTCTAGAGAAGGAGAATCTATCAAAAGAATTTATATACTAATATAATTAATCTTTGAGTTGAAACTAATTAATAATCCTTGCCTGTAGAAGTTTTTATTTTCCAAAAACTATTATATTACATAGGTAGTACTTAACATGGTTTCATAGGGGGTATCATTAAAATAGCTTGAGAATAGTGATTCCGAATATTGTGGGATTAGTTTACACTAAATAATCTAATAAAATTCATGCTATCGACAGTCATGGTCACATCAAATGTGAAATTGTTGTTGTTTTCAACGTTGCACTTAATATAAAGAGCAAGAGAGAAAATTTAATTAATATTTAATCACGTCGACGTTATTTTCTGTATCTCGTCTCTTAAGTATTGCTTACTAAGAAGTGTTAAATATTAAAGACATTTTTGCTATTTTATGATATTGCTTTATTATTAGTGTATGATACTACTTAACTTAGTATTTAATCCCTTTGGTAGGCCCGTTTCTGATAATTTACTTTATGAGGTTGTGCCATTTATAAAGTCTCGTTTTGACAGTATGTTGAACTTTTCTGCACATACCTCGATGATTTGGTGCTGGATATATGGAAAGTTGTAGGATTTTCCATTGCGATCTAGAGTAGATTCCAGCTATGTCAAAACATGGTTTTGCGAATTGCAACCGGTAGCACAAAATGTTGACCATTTTCATTTAGAATCTAAAGTGCTTGTAAAAGAGCAATTGTATAAGTAATATCTACTTACGTAGATATCATTAGTGTCACTAAAATGGAAACATATTAAGTAGAGGCTTCTCACTTAGTTGACTTCTACAATGATTTTATTCGTATTATGTTTACATCGACATCTATTGAAATAGAGACAACATTAGTGTCTCGTTTGTATTCGATATCATTTAGAGGACTAACAGCTAACTTTGAAGCTATGGTTGCAGAGTAAGTTCCCCACAACTCTCCGGCTAATATCTCACGAAAAAGCAACACCTTCTCCGTGTAGCAAGAACTGCCCTAGCCCAATTGAGGGCAGGATAGAGCCAGCCGCTAAATAGTTACTAGGCATATGTAAATGCCTCAATTCCTAACATGTGCAGAAACTGCACTCTACTCAGCATGATGACGTCCATCTGTTTTCATGTACTAATGCATATGTCAATTTCAACCTGGTTGATATTTGGCTCCGTGCCATTGAAGTGGTTAGGTTTTTCTGTTTTGACCCTGGTTAGCTTCAAACCCAACCTAACCACAACAATGAGGTCGCTTAATTTATTTATAGTACATAGTATTTACTACTAATTATTTTTATTTTTAAGTTTTAATAGGATTAGCAAAACCGAATATCCTTGTGTCTTTTATAATTAATAAATTATAATTATAATTAATTATAAGTAATTAATTAATTATAATTACTTTTAGACCAATTTTCTTGGATGTTTTAAAGTATGCTCGAACTTTTTGAGATTTAGCCGTAACTGATAGCAATAGGAGAATATAAAACTTATTATTTTTATTAAAGCTGTTCTTGTACTAACTTGAACGCATACTCTTCATTTTGTTCATTGATCTGGCAGCCTAGCTAGTATATTTATTGAACCCTTCTATATTCAAACCATTTATCATAAATTTTATCTAATATTGTATTAATGCAATTTAACTTTAAGTTGCATTTCCTATATATTTTTTTTGTCATAGCGTTTAAAAGTCTGCATTGAATATGATTAAAGAATATATATTTGTTTTGTCGATATGTGTATTACCTTGGCAAAAATCTTAATAACGTTCGGCCTCTAAACTTGTGTCGTTGATGTCCTATCTTGACAAAAACTTTACTCTAGTCAGACCACTGATTCGCGTCGTGTATATGTCTGTCTTTTAAGAATTTAAATCCTAACGACTGGTGTTGACACATATGTATCCCGAGATGCAGTTGGTCGTTTGTGAAACTGACTGATGATATACGGTATTATCACGTGAAAGTTAAGGTTGATGTTAACAATGATAATCAATTTGAGAATTGTAATATAACTTGATTCTCAAATAAAAAAAAATCTAATACGTGAAACGATATTTGTGTAATATTTTTTATAAAGTTTTCAAATCATGTTATGCATGCATTCAAGACAAGAACATGAATATACCCACCCATTTGAACTGACCAGGTTTCTCCGTCTTGACACAGTTTAATTTCAATTTAAATTCCACTCATCCCATATCCATCTCCAATCCACTCCAAAATTCTTCTTCCAGCCTCACTCAACCAGCACCCATTAACATTCTAACCCATGTAATTCCTTTCATATTGTCTGCTTTCCATAAGTATGAGTGACATATTTTATTTTTTTAACTATCCAATGAATTCATTTCCTATCTATAATCTTCACAAATACAGATTCATTACAAGTGTACTGAGTGGTTTATTGAATAACCTTAATTTTTATTAGTATGTCAATATCTATAAGATGGGTGATATATATATATTAAATTTCACTGGACACATTTTGCTTTTTCTTTATTTTAAATATTTTAATCCATATGTTTATAAAATCTATAATAAAGTACTACAAATTTAACTACATTACATGTTCAAAATTTATAATATAAAATATTACAGCTGATAGATGAGGAAAATCGAGATAGAAGAAAGCAACTTGACATCAGCATTGATTGTGTTAGTGTAGATCAGCCAGATATCCACAATCATAGCAGTAGTTGTCCGGTAACGCCACATAAAGTATCTGCTACACCGAACGAAGCACGATGTATACATTCCGCTAGTTTAAATGAAATTTCCAATTATGATAATGTAAACAAAAACAGCCTAAACAGTAACACCAGAAACGAACTATCCATCAATGGTGGAACACGTTATAAACGCCTTAAAAATGCATTAAGACAATCATTGCGGAAGAGTAAGAACTTCGTACGCAAAGAGACCAAACGTTTGTCTTTATCGCTTTTAACAACACCCGGAGGTGAATTAAATGACCCAGAAAAATATCTTTCAATGACATCACTAAATTTGGATAGACTCTTTTGCTTTGGTGATGACGTGCCTCTTGCGCAGCAAATTGCTACAGCGGTAAGCATTTGTCGTCAAACACCTGGTTTTGAAGTTTCCGCCGAAATGGTTGAAGCTGAGCGTTTGTTACTCTATTCCACGTTGTGTGCTGATATGGAGAAACAGCGTTTAAATTTAGTACAAATACGTGGCTTAGAATATGGCAGATCTGAAGAATATACACGTCGATTTTTTGTGGATGGAATGCGTTTTCCAATTAAGCCAGATGTTTGTTATGATCTTACCTTCAATTACTTTTATATTGTGACCTTTGAATGTGCAGGTGTGATACGTTCCACACAATCTGTGGAATGCGTCAATCATGAAGCGGTTTTCCGAGATTGTGGTATTGAATTCTTTTGCATGGATACAGACGCTGTAGGTATGGAACCAGTTATAAGTTGTAAGATTTATATGCTTCGATTGCGCAAGATATCAACATTATCAATTGATACAAGAAAATCTGTTGTAAGTACTTCCCTATTATTGTTGTGTTAATTATGCTTTAATAAAATATTTTTACAGAAAATGACAAACGTTAAAAACTCTAGTCCCCAGTCGTCATCATCATCAGATGATGGTGTATTTTCACGTTTTTGTTTGCATGCAGAATTTAAACTCAAACCAATAGATTTTATTCCCTACACATATGTGGAGTCCGAAACCAAGAAATCGGATAAAGTTTACTTGCGAACTGCAAACAATTATTGTGTACCTATAAGATTTTGTTCAAAATCAACTAATCTAGTGAAAGAAATTGAGCTTTCAGCACGTACCGAAATGCGTTTTCCGAAACGGAAAAAAGAGGGATTTCTAAATGTACAAGATCCATATACATTACATAATTGGAATCAGCGTTGGGTCACATTGAATGGTTTACATATTTATATATGGCAGGACGAAAATAGTGTTGATTCGCAACCATTATTCTCTTTAGACTTACGACATAGTAAGCAAACGGCACCCGTTCTTTCATCTCCGCCAGAGTTGTGTGCAAGACCTCGCTCATTTTGTCTGCAGTGTGACGTTTTCAAATCTGAGGAAAACCATGATACAGCAGGGGTTTTCTTCGCAGCAGAAACGTTGATGGATCTCAATGCTTGGTTAGATGCAGTTAACATAGTGCTAGACTTCATTACCAAGTGGTTGTAATATACTTAGTCAAAATCATATTGATAATTTGTGCCTAAATTTGCCTTTCAAATCTGTTATATTTTATATTATATTGTTAGTTACTTGTTATTAATTGCATATAAAATAGTTTAATGATTTTAATTAATAGAATTAATTATATTTATGGTTAGAATTTTGAAAACCAAGTTTCAATTTTAAATTGTAAAATTAACGTATATAGTAAGTTCGTTTGATTAATAATAAATGTAGTTACTTTATAAATTATTTGGATTTTTTAATAAAAATATATCAATTGTAAACAAAAAAAATAATAAAATTTTTAATATATTCTAAATGATTGTTTAAATGCTGATATATATTTAAAATAAATAACAGTCTTTGTAGCAAGAAGTAAAATATCTGGTTATGCCCACGAATAATAGTAGACGTACATAACTTAAACAGTTTTATTTATGATGTTTCCACAAATTCCGAGTCCCTTTTTCCCATATTTCGGTAATATGAACAGCTCAAGGAGTGGCAGGTTAGCTGTTTTAATTTTTGAAGATACAGTCCACTATATAGTCCACTATAGATACCCAATCCATAAAAATAAGATTGTCACAGAATACAAAATATATAATGTGCACATTTGGGATACAGCCACCAAAGCAATAATAAGAAATTAATGCCAAAAACCTATTCACAGTTTCAATGTGGTTCCTGAGAGCACACTCCCTTTTACATTCTTTATTAATACACAATATGTGATGGTGAATTAATATTCCTATGACTTCTGATGCGAAATCCTGGTTTAATACATTGGACCAAACTTAGGTATCTAAAATAACTAGATTTTGACAAGATTTTTATGTTCAAATGTGAATATATAATATTTATTTGAATCTTGATAATTTGAGTTCAAAGTGTTGGATGTAGTCACCTAGCAGAGCACCATTTGAACAACCATTTGCATGGCATACAAGGAATTATTTAGCCAGTAGCAGATTGTGGTCCTCTATACGAAGTGGTTTGAATTTAACTTGATATATAATATATTTTAATTGAGAAGGATAATATTGAAACATCAAAATACATAATAACATCGGTTTCACCTTTTTGTTTGGGTGCGTTATGTTGTTGTTCTGTAGTCTTTCTTAGTGAAATGGACTATAACTCTAATAAAGAATGGTTCCAAAAGTGGTCAGCTCTACATCCTGGAGTCAATCGTCAATCTCGACCACCAAGTGTCGTTTACCACCCCCAAAGGGATTTTACAAGCAGATTTCCACGGGTTACGACAACAGGGTAATAAATAAAAACTGCATATCAGATTACACTTCTAACTTTTACTACAATAATAACCGAAAATCTGTAAGAGTAAATGGAGACTCAAAGCTTTCTTTTAAGGTAGTAGTAATCCGTAGTTTAGTGGTAAGACTAACTTATAACATATAAAGGCAACTACACATTAGGGTCTTTTATTAAAGATTTTCACACTAAAGACTATATAGTATTCCAGGAAACTACATAACAGAATAATTGCCTGACTATTATATGTACTGTTGGACATAGTACATTCCTTTCACTCATAAAAATAAAGGAGAACCAGAATAAAAAGGATTACTGGGATAATATCCCAGAATTAACACAATCCATATACCTATAACAATAAGAGATAACAGGATTGTATGAACCTATCAAAAGAAAAACTTGGAATCATTACAGGAATTCTAACAGGACACTGTAAACTAAAATACCACCTTACGTGACTGTATAAGGATGCAAACTGTAGATTCTGTGAAGAGAATGAGGAGTCGTGCTAAAGTCTTGCTAGTGTAGACGTGCTATAAGTAACCATTGTTAGTTTGTAGAGCGATTTTTCTGATATAATTTAATATTTACTCAAATAAAATGATGTTAAGGTGGCCTTTTATCAGTGGCGTCGCTAGGCGTCAGCGATGTCGGCGACCGCCGACGGCCTCGCGCCCCCAGGGGCCTCGCAAAAAGTTACCGACTGTGGATTCTAAGCACTTAATAAATATTTTGAACAATTTGATTTGATAATGGCATTAACCATATTCGAAATATTTCCGAATGTTTATATAATAACCAGATTCATGTTCACAGTTTTAGTCAGTATAGCTCCGACGGAAAGAAGCTTTTCAAATTTAAAATTGATTGAGACATACTAGAAAAGTATGATGATCCAAGAGAGACTATCTCCATTCGAAATTCTATAAACTGAAGCGAAAATAGCAGCTGACGCAAATTATGATATAATTTTAAAAAAAATTGAGTGAAGCTAAAAGTAGGAAAATTCATTTATTTTAATTTGTGTTTATTTTAAATTGATTAGCAATAAAACTTTCAATCATGCTTTGTCATATTAGTGAATGTAACTTATTTACTTTTACAACAAGGGGGCCTCGCAATTCTAATGTCCAAAGTTCAGAGTTGGTCTAGCTGCGCCACTGCCTTTTATATCAGAATGATGTGGTTCTAGATAGATTGTTAATATAGTTATTAAATGACTTTATTATCAGAAATGAGCTTAAGGCCCTGGCAGCTAGCGGTTGTTTTTCCTATCTTAGTTATAAGATTTTATATATTATACTTAATTATAATATATAAAAATAATTTATTTGTCAGCTAGAAATTGCACAAAGCCAGGCTCTGAATAGACTTTTCAAGGTATCATGGTACATTAGGACGAATAACATCCTCAGGGACCTCAAGATTGATCCGATCAAAAAATACATAAAGAATAGAGCCCTGAAATTATTTGCAAAAACTGACAGACTAACCAACACCATGTTATTAAATCACAGTATAATTAAAGGCTCCTCGGGGAGATATGCAAATCTGAGATGAATTATTGCTTAGTCTGATGAAGTTATAAACAATAACCCAGTCAAGGCGTAAAGAGGGATTTGAAAATACCTAGAGTTAAGAAAGAGTAAAAGTGCTCAAGTGTACTGGCTCAAATAGCTTCAACATAAAAAAAAAATAAAATAATATTATCAGAAATACTTGATTGCAAATCGAATAGAGTGGGCAAATATGTCAATTAGACCTCTTAGTTTTTAGTTAGTTCAAGTTAGTTTAAGTTAATAATTTATTAAAATAATATATAAAAATGAAAACTCTTCAATCAAGGGATATTTACTCCACAATATATTTGGTATAAGAATTTTAAGAAGATGCTGTCAATTGCTCATATAAATGCTAATTTATAACATTTCATATTTTCTAATTCTTTTCAGAATTATACTGAGATTAGCTTGAATATACATATACATATACATATATAAATTAATTATACAATAATATTTACTAATTTAATTTTTTATAGTAAACATTTTTTTAAAAATTATATAGACACACTTTGTGTATATATCAGAGCTGAGCTACACGGTTATTTGGCGTTGTTTTTTTTATATATGTAATAATATATGTTTATTAAATGTATATATGCAAATTCAGTTTTAAATATATATATATATTTGTGCAAGTTTTTTATTCATAAGTGTGTGTGTGTAATATAAATATTGTTTTCAATATAATGTATATATAATGTGTTAAATTAAAACTAAAATATTGATTAAAACATATGTTATAATCAAAAATCTGCATAATTATTTGTTAGTATACTTCATATACTTAATACATACATATAGGTATGTATGTCTACATTAATATTTTATCTATAATTAATGTATTATTATGTGCAATTAATTCTTTTTACGTGGTTAGTGGTTATACATTTGCGTTTAAACAGTACTTAAGTAAAATAAATTAAATAAATGGATATATACATACGCCATTATCTATATATGCATATATGTATATATCCTATATATGTATATAAACTTATGTATATGTTAGACATGAAAGGTATTTCCTGTATTATTTTTTATATATGTTTAATTCCTTTCATGTGGTGATATGGTTTTTTAAATATTATTTCTTGTTACATGGTAATGTAGTATTTATTGGTATATTGTAATAAATATGTTATAGTTAATATGTATGTAATAAATATTTTTTACTTATTTATTCATATGCATTACTGTATATAGTTAAGTATTTATCGTTCGGAGCTATGGTAATATAAATATGTATATATGTTGATAACATGATTACTTGCGACTTTTCTAATATTTAATATTAAATTCCGATTTGTAAAAAGGTATTTTAAATTATGTTTGTAAGTATAAAATATACATATATATTTATATATTCATTTATATAAACATATATAATATGTAAAATAATATAACCACAATTTTTAAAAGATGTTTTATGTATATACATTACAATTTATATATTTATGAATATGTATATATATGATATATATATATTATATGTATATAGGACCGTATAAACATATATATATATATATAAACATATAAAAAACATCTCTTATAAATGTGTCATAATATACAAAAATTTTATAATTTTTGTAAGTATAAAATATACATATATATTTATATACTCATTTATATAAACATATATAATATGTAAAATAATATAACCACAATTTTTAAAAGATGTTTTATGTATATACATTACAATTTATATATTTATGAATATGTATATATATGATATATATATATTATATGTATATAGGACCGTATAAACATATATATATATATATAAACATGTAAAAAACATCTCTTATAAATGTGTCATAATATACATATATATATATAATTTAGTATGTTGGTAAAATATTTAGTATATATGTATTCTTATTATTACATTCAACGTTTTATAATATTAAATATTATATATATATATAATAATTAAGGATTGATTTACAAATATATCCGTATCGTTCCGTTATATTCTTATAAGAATATTGTGTTTTATAAGTTTGTATTAGACGTTTTATATTTATATGTAATCTATTTCAATATAGATATATATATTATAAGTTATATAGTTAAAGTAATTGTTGTGTCTCAAATATAATATAGTTTAAACCATATAACTGTATATGTCTATATGGATGTATTTTTATTTATTTTATTTTAAATTAATTTATGTAAATATTCAAGTTACACCATTTATATTCATAAATTTTTTGGTTTTTTGTTACCTTTTATGAAACTCATACTTTGGTTAAATATCTTATACATATGTATTGTATATATGTTTATATAAGTTTATATAAATATTTTTTAAATAAAAATCTTGTAAATTGAAGATTAAATATATAATTCATTACATTTTTTACGTATATATTAATGTATTTAATATGAAATTGTAAATATTTATTAATATTATTAGATATGATATAACAACATTATTATGCAGGGCTACACAGTGATATATATATATTGTTGTTCTACTCATCTTTCTATAATAAAAGTTACTGGTCTTCTTCTTTTTTTATATAAGTGAATTTATTTTATTTAGTTTCCATTTCCATTTTCAACGTTTATACTAGTACATATTTCCATATGCGATTGGTTTGATGGTTGGTACCGATTTCCGTTACATATAGCGCTGATCCATTTACACATACAGCTACGGAGTGCGGATTTTTGAATTCACCCCAGTGTCCAATGATTGCTTCAGAACGTGGATCAATTGTAAAGCCACGTACTGGTAACATCGATGTGGGTCCATTAACTGCATATACAATGTCACCATAAGCCGCCACACCAAAAACTCGTCCTAAGTCTGGTTCCTGTATAGTTGCTGCAGGTTGACCCTCACCTTGTGAGGACTTCAGGCCAGCTCTATAAAAAATGTAAAATTAAATAAAAATTAGAAAAAAAAACAAGGAGTGCATAGTTGAAACTTTAATACTTGTAGTTAAAATGTTACTTACTTTGGGCAGACGACTCTCATATTTTCACGATCGGCAATACACAACAAATCCAAATGTTCCAATAAAGTTATTGCATGTGGGACTTGAAGTGAAAGAAATTCTAAAAAAAAATTTTAATTTATTTTTTGAATCAATTAAGATCAATAGTAAAATAATTAATAATTGATTAATTATTTTCTGAATCAATCAATAAATAGTAAAATAATCTCACCTGGTGGCTGGGGTATAGTTCGCAACAAACGTCCAGCTGCATTAAACTTCAGAATTCTTTGATTACAATAACCATCAGCAATAAAGAACTGAGAGATATTAAAAGAAGAAATAAAAATGTATATTAGTTTTGATTGATTTTTAATATTTTTTTGATAACAAGTTATATTGATTTACCACACTTATCTACATAAAAAAATTGATAAGAGTTTATATGCAGATTTTCTTAAAAATGATAAATATTCAAAATTACGAAACAAAGGTTCAATAAACCATGTTTATTGGAATTTGCAGACCTACTGCACGTTACGAGTATATTAGCTAAGAATAATCATGATATCTCCGGGTTTCAGTTTCGGTTTTCTGGTTCAAATTTGAAAAGAATATATTTCTAACTTAAGAACTACATATTTTGTTACCATAACCATTTTTTTTTATTAAAATTTATAGTAACAACTTTAATAGATAACATTTTATCGATAGAAATTTTTGAATGTATCTAGAAAACCTTATTAGTAAGAAAGAAAGGATACCAGAACAGCTGTTATGTTTATGTCCAGGCTTGTTCGGACACATGTCCAGGCTTATCCAGACATATGTCCAGGCTTGTCCGAACACATGCCCAGGCTTGTCCAGAAACATGTCCAGGCCGCCCTTCTGTAACACACTCAATGATATTTCCAGCATTTGCATTGGCCAGACTCTCGACTTTATAAATGATTTTTGCTGGTTATAACTTGACCATTTATTGTTCTACCCATTATTACGAGGAATAGTAGAATTAAAACGACCCTCACTTCATCCTATCCTAACCTATGGTTTGTAAGACTTTGTACTCTTATATGATATAGTTTATTTCAGATAGGTAGAAAACCTTGGAAGGTGCTCATGTGAGTTTTATTTCATTAAACTATTTTAGTTGTTCATATAGTTTTTACATTGAAGAACTCTGACATTGTTGCATATAACTTTCATTCTCTTTGAACTAGTGTCTTTCAATCTATACAGTAATGTCTTTAAAGATTTAATATTTGCCATGACAGATTTCACATTTAACTACTATATTTATTAATTTAATTTTTTTAGTTCAATGATAATAATTAACCATATAACCATATTAGATAAATTGGAGTATATATTAGTATTACCAAGCAAATCAAATTTATTAAAGAGAATTTACAGCATATATTGTACTCTCAGAGTTACCTAGATTTTTTACCTATGTGTAATTACCTATATGTAATATATAAAGTGATATACCTATTTAAAGGGTGGAATAGACGATAGATTGAACACCCCCCATTTGAAAATTTAATATTAAAATTTTCTAAATCCTACACAATCCCTCGGCGCAATTATGGCTTAGCCACCGAATACATACACATATTCTGCCTACACATCAATAAATTTATAACTTACCTCACCAGTTGTTGCAACAGCTATCGAAGTGGGTTTACATAGATGATATACAGATGAGCCGGGTTGGAATCGTTTACCAATAATTATTTGTGGATGAGTTTCAAAAGGTTTAAACTGCAAAAGGAGTTTCAGATATGTCACGAATAATTTCATATTAATATGATATAAGAACACTACATCTATTATTATATTACTATCAATACGTATCAGTATTTATTATTTAAGTATTAAGTCATGTATATTACTGTACAATATAAGATTGATATATAATCAAATTTGTTACAAACCTTAAATGCCTGATGCATTGCTACATCTGTCATCCAGTAATTACCATGTACATCAATTGTCAATCCATGTGGCATGTAAAACAATTCCTCTCCCCAACCAGATTTAATTGCACCTGTCTTGGGATCCAGTATATAAATTGTCTTCTCCTTAATGGGCCCATATTCAATTAAATAGAATATGTTGCTCTCGTTAAAAGTGCTAATAGAACATAAATATGTGTACATGAAAATAAAAATAGAATATGTAAAAACAATAACAACTTGATAATCCCTGTTGACCTACTTTGCATCCCAATATCTATCAGCTCGATGAAAAATTACTGGGTTACCCTGTGGGTCGATGGAAACAGCTGTTACTTGTCCAAATGAATGATCTGAAGTTGGCCAGTTCTCTACTAAAACGGGTGTTGGAATGGTGGGTGGTGGTGCATCAGTATTTGTATTGCTCGTTTCAAGGGGTATAATTTCATTGTTGTTGTTGTTATTGGTGTTAGCGCCATCTATATGGAGTTCCTGAAGCTGTGGGCCAAAAAAACAAAAAAAAATGAAATAAAATTTTATTTATTTTCTAATTTTATAAACTGGGAACTCCTTACAGCTGCATTTTCCTTCAACCGTCGTTTTATAAGCGCTCTAACATCATTGAAAAAGCGCTCATTAATTGTTAGGTCTTCATCTGGGTAATCAAATCGATGACTAGGTAAATGATTGCCAGCAGTCAATTGCAGCAAAATCAGTGCTGAAACCAATAACAAACCAAACAGCTTCTCAACGTTGGTTAAGATGGTCATTTTTCCTATAATTTTTATTGAATAAAATTTTATTAAAGGATATTTTATTTGTGGAAAAATTTACTCACAGCTGTTGAGGATTACAAATGCTAGTTTTCCATTTTGATGTATGCGTTGCAATCAATCCAGTACGGTAACTAATTTATGAGTGTACACTCTTTTTTGGTACTCCTAAATTTATTGTCGCAGTTAATGGTACTTCAAAGTTCAAAAGTTCTAACGCATGCGTATTAGAGGCTAAGCAGATTACAGTGGAAATTTTTGTCACAAATTTGCTACTCATAGGTTTTCCAGACGTGACTAAAAAGTTGAACAGGAGCTCAGAAGTGATAAAAGATTTATGTATATTCCATACATCTTGAAATCCAACAACTTTTGAAGTATATCACGTTGTACCTCTTGAATTATGTTTTCAATGATTTGTGGCACTACGCTAGAGCCTTTCGTTACAGTTTTTAGAAATATAGTCAAGGTTAAATCTTCTACGACTTCTGGATCAGGCCAGAGTCATACCTTTTGCAATAGTTATTGGCTAAAGCAATCTTGGATTTGTGTCTCAATGGACAGACTAACTACTTGCTTTGATGTTATATATACAGAGGCTGTGGTAAGTAACAGGTATAAACAAAATTGCTAGAAATAAAGTTCTAAAGTTTGATAAAGTATGGTATTTACACTTTCAATTTAAAACTGAGATTTGATTCATAAACACTAAATATTCAGTCATACTCTCGAGTCTTCTGATACATTTAAACATTTAAGTATATTAGGCTAGTCTATCTAAGTTTGGATCTTGACTTAATTATCAGATTGATTTTTTTTCATGTTACTTCACCATTTCAATTAAAACTAACACAAGGTTCTTAAAATTAAGAAAATATTTTTAATATATATAAATAATATATACCATATGGTGACTTTAAAAGTATATATATATATAAAAAATTAATATTATGAATGAATGTGTACATAGAAATAATTTTTATTAGTTACATATAAATTTGCTCCACTGTGCAGTACTTCCACGCAGTAAAATATATTGATTTTTCCGAATTTGCTGACGTGTTATCCAAACATATGTTTGGATTTAAATATTCTATTAAAGAAAACATTATAAATAATTAAATAATTTTTTAATTTTATTGCTGTAAATATTTTACTATAATTGTATTAACAATTAAATATCTTTAATAACAATAAAATATTCGTGAAAACTAGTTCTCAAAATTGGTTGTGCTAGTTTTAGTTTAAATTCAACAAGTTACACTTACTAACTAATATATATACTATATATATATACTCATTAGTACATATATCGTTATGAGATTATTAAATAAGATAGATAAATATCCTATATATGAGTATTACTAGTTCATATTGTATATGTGCATTTAATTATTGTGTTTGGAAGAATCAATTTTAGGGTGCGGAGATCTACGTTTGTGTTGGTGGTATATATGTTGGCAATTATGCATGTGCACGTATTTGCTAGGGTCTAAATTTGAAGAGCACCTTCTTTAATTAACTATAACATGAATGGCTTTTCAATGTGTCTGAAGTAGTTGCCCTCAAGGACCCCAATCCCAAGTGGGTTGTGTCCATATATAACCGGTGTCAGTCATCGAACAATAGGCATTGTAATAACGTCCCGGTGACCTAAAAAGCAAATAGTTAAATGAAAACTACACTGCAAATATACATACACCTATTATGTGCAATGGAGGGTGTTGTTCTTACCGGCAGTAGGAAAATTGTGGACATTTGCAACGAAATAGACTTTGAAATTCCTCCTTACACACTTCATTCCACCAGCAGGTGCGCTTATTTAAACAACAAATGTAGTTATCTAAATTGTATTTAAAACTTTTAACTCACCTCCGTCATATAGCCGTGCACACTTTGGTCCGAATAGCTACGTTTGACACGTCCTGTGGTAGTGGTAGTCATCATCATCAGAGTCGAACAAGTGAAAATTGTTAATAAAAACTAAAAATAAGAAAACTTATCGTAAATTACAGATTTTAAAATTTTTTTCTATGGAATGTAAAATTTAACTTTTCTCATTTTTCCTAGTGTTTACAGGTGAAGTTACGTCAAAGGGTTTCGTTGAATTTAAAATTTATCAAAATATTTCCTAATTTTATTATTTAACATTAATTTTTACTATGGCAGTTTCTTTAAATATTTTGCTTTATTTCGTTTTATTATTTTCTTAAAATATATCTTTAAGATATTTTCACTTGTTTTGCTTTGAAAACATTTTAACCCAACAGAATTAAAGTTGTAATAGGTTAGGTTCATGTCAACTGTCAGTTTACTAATTCTGTTTTGATTTCCTTTTGCTCCGGTGAAACGTCACTGGCTGTATCAGAGTTCTCCATCTATGGATTAGTTGATTTTAAAGTTTTTAATTAATTTATAAAAAATAATTTTTAATAACAATAAGATTTCAACAAAATTTATAGAAATTTTGATTACAGTAGCAAAATCGGGTTACTGGAAATATTTATACTGAGTACAAACTACGAGGGCAGAAGCATCTTTAAGGTATATAATATTCTATCCATTCTTAGAGAAGTAGTTAGTAGAGAAGTACATTATGCATACTTTGAAACTTTAGACAATCAATCAAAGTATAAACAAACTCTCTAATAAAAATGGAAAATGCGGATATATTTATTTAAAAAACATATTATCGAAATAACTTTGAGAATTTTGATCATAATCATATCACTTCACATAAAACTACAAAGCAATGTATCGAAAAGATAGTTGCAGTCATTGCTTCATGGTTTGAACCCCAGATCCCTTTTCACTTTAAAATATTTTGGATCATTTAACATCAGATATATACATACTGGATTTTTTTAAGTTAAATATTTTTATATGAATTTTGAAATAGTTCTTATACACACTCCATAAATGAGTCACTATTTACGTTTTAACTTCTTAATCAGCACATAAATAAACTTCTTCACTTTATAAGTGATTAAATTACCTAAATAATAAGTGTAGATAAAGAAAAGTACGCTTCTATATCTCTAAGTGATTTTGTTGTGGAATATATAAGAAAAACAAAAACAAAAAATTAAAATATTTGACTATACATGAATGTTAATTATATCAACGGATAATAATTGTTTAGCAACATAATTAATCCAAATAGGTCTGTTGCAATTTAAACAATTTTCTGAGAATATTATATATAAAAAATATATTTTTAGAAACCCATTGAGCCTTATATATACGTAGTTCTAAAATCTTAAATTCTAGTCAAATTCTTTGCCTTTGATATTGAGTATCTAATGCCAATCGTATCAATCCAATAGCAAAAGCTTATCATATATTCGCTAGTTAATTAATTGAAGTAAAGAGACGGAACCGTTTTGATTCCACAACTCCTCCTAATAATGGGTAGAAGAATGGTCAAGTTAGAGTCAACCAAAAGCATTGATAAATGCGAGTGTCCGACCAATACTAATGCTAGAAATGTCGCTAAGTGTGTTAAAGACGGGGCACCCAAAAACGTAAGCCTTGTTCTGGATAGACCTGGTGTATTCTCTTAAAGCAACGGTAGATATATTGGTTAACTGTTTCAAAAAAATACTTAGAAATGATTGATTTCGGAATGAAAGAAAGATATCAAATTATTACATATTCTTGTATTAATAATATCGGAATAGCTTTATGTGAATTTAGATCTATATTGATATTAGCAGTAGTTATCATTATATAATCATTATAAATATAATATATTTTAAAGAGGTTTTTTCGAACAGTAGTGAACTACAACAACAAAAATTTTTATTTTTTATATTATTTTAATTGATTGAATTTTTGGTTGACCATACAGCTGTTTCGAGTATTGCCAAATACCCATTATCAGTGGTCTTGGAAATAATTCTTGTATTTAATTATTCGTAAATATTTATTTTTGAGACTGCATTATTATATTATATTATCATTATAAGTATTTAATACCTATATATTATACGAGTAGGTACCAAATTTCAGGACATTATTGCCTAAATTTCTCTTCTTACAATTTACTTGAATAGAAATCCAACATTTCGCTAAGAAATCGATATCATGATAGTTTGGTAAGAGTTTAAACCCACATCAACCCTATAGGTAATATTCACCTTTAGGACAATTGTCACAGGAGAACCTACTTATTTGTCATAAACGCACAAGATATTACTCATTTAAGTATAGCAGGAAAGATTGATGTATGCATGCATCAAAGAATATATGGTTAATATTCGCTTTCTATACTGAAAATTTATTGGAATATTAACCTAATCTTAAGTCAAGTAAACATAACTAAGACAGCTTTGTAAGAGATTATCTGTGTTCACAACAGCAGCCAAATAGACCATACATACCTTTAGGAGAATGGCCACTAGAACGTTTTAAAAATATTTAGGCGTCTAAAATCTAGTAAAAAATGCCAGAAAGATAAAGATAAACATGGTACAGATTTATATCGCCAACGTCAAAATCAAACTATCTTGCAATTAGTGTTGAATTCAGTATTTGAAGATAATATGTTAGGTGTGTTAAAAAGAAATCCATTATTTTTGCATGAAATTTGAGATTTATTTACCATGTTTAGAATGATCCGATTTAGGCCAAATATGCGTCGTTTTATTCAGTTACTTGTCATTTTGAAAGTAATTTTATTATGTACACTTTATTTAATAGAAGTTCTCGTCCCTTTTGGCAAAAAATTGATACAGTCTATTTTAACCAGCCTCTCTTGAACCGAATCATTCACTAGAAAATTGTTCGCCATGGACAGAAACAGCTGGTAATCATTTGTTGCTGTGTCTGGACAAAATAGATGAAAGTAAGTGTAGGCATATATCTTGATAGAAGATTACATGAATCGAAATGGGGCTTAAAAGCCCGTAATTTTATTTACTGAAGATTACAAGATTAAATGAGGTTTCATTTAAACTTTCATTAGTTGAAAACTATTATTTCGTTGTCAAGCACATCTAATATGTTTACCTTATCTATAAAACTCGTCAGTTTTAATCAATTCTATATTATTAGTATTTTTGTTTTTGCTTGAAAGTCTCATATGTACTAATAAAATCTAAATATACTTTGTTTTTCACAAAATTAATTAATTTTCCTTAAGTGATAATTTAATCCCATATGTCCGTCACTGGTTAATCTGTTTTTCATTGCGTCCGTAAAACGATTTCTTACGTTTAAATGTATATTTTAAGTATTATTTTCTCTATTAAGGCAACTTGAAAATTATTTTGAAATCAAATAAAATCAGAAAAATGTTTATACCAGCAAAACATTTGTGAAATTTGTTATAAACAAATCGCAGAATTCTTGCAAATATTTTTGCAATGTTTAAATTAAAATTGTTTGAATTTGTTTGTACAAAACTAACAAAATTAAAAAAAATGTTATAATTTTTTCTAGAAACTAATAAAATATCTTCTATCAAAACAATTTTGCTTTGAAATTTGAAAGTATCTACTGATTATTCACATATTTACAATAACAATATGTACTATACATCATTTAATAATAATATAAATGAAATGTAAATATTTCATTTTGTAAGAAAATAAATTTATTTTTATAACGCAAACGTCATACCAAACAAAAAAAAAATAATAAAAAATAAAAATAAGAAATATATGATATATAGTAATTCATTTGGTGTGATTAACGCAATCTAAAAATAATTATCAAAACATCTCGTGAAGCCACACAAATTCTTGCCTTTGACTCGCCTATGGCCGTAAATCTCTTCAGGTGTTTCTTCAGGGCGTTTGTTGCTAGCGTCAGATCAGAAATGAAAATGTTTGCTCTTTTATATGATAAAAATATAACACTTAAAATATTTCTGTTTAAACAATTTTATTAAAAAATAGTCTCGCATATTCTACAACACAATTTTTTGGATGATTAATTTCGCACTCATCACCTACATATGGAAAATAAAAAATATACTATATATAAAGAAATAATATAAAATTATAGCCAATTTTGTGTAATTCTGTGATTGAAATACTTATTCATATTTATTTATTTATTTATTTATTTATTATTGCAACAAGTGTCTTAAATTAAATTATGGTTTATATTCTGTAACTAACGGGTTTCATTACGTGTTATTATGGTCTGAAATATCATCTATAAAAACTTAGATTAGATTATCTGTTTATTTGGAATGCAGATTATGCCTCGAAGATGATACATATTCTTTGTGATTGTCCAGCTTTAACAACGCAAAGAAGAAACTTATTTCATACATATGTTATTTCTATCACCAGAACAGATTAAGAGCTCTTCTCCAGATTTAGTTCTGGACTATGGGGTCCATACCTCTATTCCTATATATCCTTATGTTAGTTTTTACTTGATTTCCTCATTTAATCGATCCAATAACATGCAATAGTAGACTGATCTCGTTTTTTCTTTTTCCAAAGGGTCTTTGAACATTTTTCTACTTGAATCTCAAAATACGAAAATCAAAACTTTTCCAGTCGAATGTTGAGTTTGTGGCCGTTTCAGAGAACTACCCTTGGACTCTATTCATTCTCTGGCTTGTTGTTTTTCTCAGGTGTGAAGTAGTGGATCTATGTTTCATCAGTTGGCACTACTCGACGCTCACAGTCAGTTAGAAGTGGAAACTTTTACAGCTGTTGTTTAAATCTGTCGTTGCCAGATATACAAACTATAATTGATTTTGTTCTGAAGTTACCACCTGTTTTGAAGTCAGGTAATTATTAATCCACCTAGTAGCTTATGCATCTATTATTTTATGGGCGTCAAGCAAATTACAAGATTCATGGAATAAACAATTGTACGATGAGTACAAATTTTTTTTTAATTTAATTATTAATTGAAATTAATTATTTAGAGGCGTCAAGAAAATTACAAGAATCACAGAACCCTGCCGGAATGGGTATTAAAAATTTTTTTAGCAAAATTTATAAAAGTTAATTTTTTTAATTTAATTATTATTTTAATTTATTTTAATTTAATTATTAATTTAAATGAATTATTTTAAGAAAGTCAGGAAAATTACAAGATTCATTGAATAAACACCAACTCGATGGGTACAAAAATTATCAAGAGCTAATGTTTTTAATTTAATTAATAGTTTAATTA